CATTCCTAAATATTTTTTCTTTTAAAATTAAATAGAAATACAAAAATAATATTTATTTTTAATGGGATTCAAAATTTACTTAGTGGGAATTTCTAACCCCTAAATTTTAGGTTTTTATGTTTTGTTAACTTAAATCCTAACAATCCCTAAAAAAAATAGTATATTTCATCCAATTAGCTTTAAAGATCTTTAAGTTAATTAATTACTTTTTTCTATCTATTTTTTCTCTATTTTTTTTAAACGTCACGAAAAACCAACTTTTTGACGACCATTTCGTGACAATTACAAAAACGTCACGGAAAGTAAAAAATTCGGAACACTCCGTCATTTCCCGCCAAAAACGCGCCTGAACGTTTCGTGACGTTTTTTAATCGTCACAAAAAACCAACTTTTTTACCACCATTTTGTGACAGTTAAAAAATGTCACGAAAGGTCAAATATCCAGAAATCTCCGTTTTTTCCCTCCAAAAATGTTGTTTTTGCCTATCGTGACGCATATTTTTATTTTGAACAGTATTTTACTGTTCATGAGCGTCACGAAAACCCAATTTTCTAGTAGTGGACCTGGATCGAGTCGTCTGTAACATTTACAAAGTGGGCCGTATCCATAGTGTTGCCAGGATAAGGTACCCAGCCTTATCTATGTACTATAGACCCTTTAGGTTATTCACGGGACATTATCCACTCGTATATCAGGAGTATATCAAATATATACCTCGTATATCAAGGGTATATCAAATATATACCTAGTATATCAAATATATACCCAGTATATATACTGTCCCGTTTACATTAAAATAACCTTGGATATTTAGTTTATTGGATTTTGGACAATGCAATGCTATGAATTCAACAACAAATTTATTGAATAAAACTTTATTGAATATACATTTATTTTAATTACATAAATACAAACTACGAGTTTAGGGCAACATACCCAACATTTCCATGGATCACTTGAAGACATCTCATTTTTCCATGCTTTTGTTATTCCTTTATACTTTGTTATCAACTTTAGTTTTTAAGTTTTGTTCTTCAATTAATTGTTTTGAAATTACTCTTTGTTTATTTTATTGCAATTCAATTTGTTCGATTTTGTAATTTCTTTCCAAATCTAATTAAAATGCATTCTTTTGTTATCTTCTCTTGTGTTTTCATTACCTTCACTTCCATGAGTAGCTAAAGTACTTCTTCAACCCTCATTCAAATGGTTTAGTTCATTTATTTAAAATTACATCTATCAGTGAGCACGACGTATTAGACTATCTTTGCTTATCTTGATTGATACAATTTATCCAGTTGATTTTCTTGTTGGCCACTCCTTTAAATCACATTAGTTTGAATTTAATTCTGAGAAGGTTAGAGTCAAACGGATCTCATCAAGGTAGAACAAGAAGTTGCTTAGAAATAAGAACTAAAACAACATCCTAGGCATAAGCTCTCTTACCCGTTAAACGTAAGTTGAAACTTGATTTATTTAGGATTCTAGAGTTACATAGACATATGTAAACACTAGCCTAAGCTTCTAAACAAACCAAAAGTGGTAGGGAATAGGAGTGGAACTAGTTTGCATAAATTGAGCTTAATTACGGGTACACTTAATATGTGTAATTCATCTTTTAGAACCACTACTAGAAAACCGGTGTTCCATGATAGTTGTGAGCAGTAAAAAGGTTTGGAAAAAAATAAAAACTATCACAAATTGTGGGTGTGCATTTTTGGCGGGAAAAAATGCAAATTTCCGAATTTTTAAAAATTTCAGGATAGTTAAAAACTGTCACAAAAATTGGAATTTTTTTTTTATTCAATGACTGAAAAAAAAAATTGTCATGAGATGATGGAGACATGATGTTGACGGGAAAAAATGCTAATTTTCGGATTTTGTATAATTTTGTGACAGTTAAAAGCTATCACGAAAACTGAAAATTTTTAGTTTTATTCAATGACAGTTATTTTTTTTTTTCATTTCATTACAATTAAAAAAACATGATATATTGTCATGCCCTCGTTTTTAAGACAATAAGATATTTATTAACCATCATAACTTTGTTTAACCATTTCGGATTATATGTAAAAAAATTTGTCACGAACAGTTTTGGGTGTGTTTTTTCCCCCATAATTCAATACTTTCCCTTATTGGCATCAAGAACGTTCAAGAAATGATTTAAAATAATGTATCTTGTTTGGAATGATAATAATTTAAAATAAATATAATTAAATTTATGTATTTGGATCTTAGCTCCAAAGGAAGATAAAATAAAACATTTACTTATTTAGACGTTTAATTTAAATTGATTAATTAGAAATAGAAAAAACATAAATCTTGGATTGTGTGAGAACATTGGTTACAAGATTCATGATTTACTGCGAGATTTCTGGTATAAATCAAAGTTGAAAATGTTGAATATAGACAAATTTAACGTTTTTTTGGATTGTTGGACAATCCCGACTAAGATTCATTTTGGCTTACGAGATTCATGGGATTTCTACGCACCTTTAAGACTAGGATTATATAATTTCAATCCAATTGCAAAATCTTAGGTCAAGATTATGCCTGCCATTAAGTACTTTCAATCGGAATTACATCATAGTTACACAATATATATTTAATATACAACGTAGGGGTTGGCTTTCTAATCTTTGTGTTTTTAAATCGTATTCCCGACAATTTTCACCCATTTTTATCCCAACCCCAATTGCTCATTCATGCAATTTGCAAATATTTCCAGAATATTGCTTGTGACAGTGTGCTCACTTACCCTCGAGCTATCAAGCAGAGGCGCGATTGCTATATTTTTAAATTCATTATAGTAAATCAGTTTCAGCACAAGTTGTGTATGACATCAGACATCATACTAATGACCGGAAGCCCTATGAACAATTTATCGGAGCCCAACATTCAAAAGTAGGAAAAAAAAAAAAAGAAATATGACCTATTTTCATATTTATTTTTCAATCGATGTGTGATGTTTGGTATAGAATCGGGCGGCCATCAGATTGGAGTTTGAATTTACCTCGTTCATTGAAGATTCCAGAAATATGTTGGCCTCCAAGCTTCATCACACCAACGATCCACTATTATTTCTAGTCATCTGCAACCAAACAAAAAAACTAAGTTACCATTCTACCATAGAACTTCATAAATTGAAAATTATGCAATGACCAAAATGTTTATTGCATCTTTTACCTCAGGTATGAGATCAAGTACAATCAAATATAAGCATGAAAACAAGAACTGTTTATTTTCATTCAAAATGTAATGCATATATACTTGATGAGAAAAATGTAATGCTTTATTGTGATTCTAGTCAGAGCATAATCAAAGAATAGATAAAGCACAAAAGTTAAAATATGTAATTCATAGATAAGCACGCAACAAACATCCCTCTAAGTAAGAGCTACTTACAACTCGCCTAAATGCTCCTAACTTCTTGAGTCGGATTGAAATCTAGGCAACAAGGTAAAATCAGCATGTTACAACTCAGTTTTGACTACTAAAGTTGAATCTAAAAGGGTGTTCAAAGGGTCGTTACCCACTGAACCTTGCTGAAACGACGGCGAAAGTGCTGGGGCTTGTAGATCTGATGCCAACAGGGTGTGGGTATCATGGATTGGGCTTCGTTTGGGCCTGGGTAAGCATGGAGAGTCACCGAACGCTATTGTTAGCATCGGAGAGGGGTGCGGTAGAGAGATTTTGTGCAAACAGAACGTTAGCGATCGTTGGAGGGAACGAATATCGTGCAGGAGCTACCGCTGGTCGCTAGAGGGCATCGGGTCTCGATGCTGGGAAATGTGGCTGGGTTGAGATGCTGGACGCGACATGGAAGTCATTACTGGCCGAAGAAGTCACGCGTCACCGGATCTGGGTTGTCAGAGAGCTGCGTCGCCACTGAAGACCGACCAATTGGGTCACCGACCGCTGGGTTCGTGGAAGAGCGTCGGATTTGAGAGCCGCTGTAGCTACACCGCCATGGAGGGAGGAGGGACGCCATGGATCATCGGGATCAGAGAGAAATGCGCACCTGTACACTGCCACCACTGGTCTGTCGAGGAACGCCGGAGTTCACGGAGGGATGAGCCACCGCGTTGGAGTTGTCACGCACGAACACCAAATCATGCCGCCACTACAGAACTGTCAGAGCCGCCACCTAAGTGTTGAAATCTGCCGCTGCCATTGGCCGGAGGAAAGCACGTCGGTTGGAGGAGCGTCGGGTCAGGGCAGTTTTGACAGTACCGGTTGTTGGCGGGTCGCCGGAGACAAAATGGGGAGGCGGTAGGCGGCTACTAAGAGAGGAAGAAACAAACCCAAAAAATGGGCTAATGTTCTAAAAATGAAGAGGAAGAGACTTTTCCTAATCTTTTCCCAAAATTAAAAACCTAAAAATACTTGGGAAATGATTTAAGAGAATAACTTAATTTTAAAAATCCAAAAATAAAATCTAAAAGGGAAAATTAAATTTCCAAACTTCGAAAAGGTTTAATTAAAAATCTCTTAGGATTCGAAAACTTAATTTATCTTAAGCCAACGAAAAATAAACTTTAATTCTAATTTAAATCCTAGCATACCCAAAATTAGAACTCTGAATTTAGAAAATCCAATAATTTAAAATTATCAGCTTAAGGGAAAATACAAATGCACAATTTAAATCTTAAAATAAACGAGCCATAAAATGCGGGACTCAAAAATTGATTTTCATGAATACCTTCTTTTTACAAGTCTATATAGTCTCACTCTTTTGAAACGATGACATGGTTTTCAAAGCTTTCCTTCACAATTCATTTTATAGTTTTTATTGTCTATTGTATTTGAATGTTAGGCTGCGGTGTGTCAAACCTCAAATTTTTCTATTTTGTAATTTCAAAATTTTTTGAAGCATTAATTAAATCGGATTGAAGGAAAAAAATTATGAATAATTTTGGTATTAAAATATATAGATAAAATGAAAAAGTAAAATATAAAATTCGCAATGTTTTGGAGTTAATATTTAATTCAAATTTCAATTTAAATGTATTTTCCAAAATCTATAAATTTAATTTACATAAATGAACAAGAACAAAATTAAAACTGAATAACTTAATCTAACATAATGATTCACAACTGACTGACACACGCAAATGGCGACATATTTGCATAATGAAAACACATGGCAGTACAGGTGGGGCACAAATATGGCACTCATTTGAAGCTAAACACACCAACTAAAATTCCTAATAATCACAGAACAAAACAAAAACTCACTTCCTCCACAAACAGAAAGATCGAAATGAAAAACAGATGTGTGAAACCCTTAGTGACATTTTACGTTTCATGAAATCTCAAAATTATATGACTTTTTGTGACGTTAAAAATTTGTTATAAAGTACAAAAACTCTTGCATTAGTAAATATTTGTTGTTTCACTCTAGTTCAATATTTCACAATATTTTTAAATAGAATAAAATTTTTAAATTACATATTCACTTTTCGTGACATAAAATGTCATAAATTGACAAAAAAATCATGAGCACTGTTGGGTTTCATGCCCTAAACTCGTGGCTTGTAAACAAAAAACAAATATTCATTCAATAAAGTTGTTATTGATAGAATTGCATTAACCCAAATCCGATAAACTAACATCAGAGGTTATGTCATGTAATTGGAACAGTATATAACAGATATACAGTATATATTTGATATACATTGTATATATATACAGTATATATTCGATATACAAGTGGATAATGTTCCAGTAGTAACCTAAAGGGTCTATAGTATATGGATAAGATTGGGTACCTTATCCTGGTAACACAATGAATACGACCCACTTTGTAATAGTTACAAATGACTTGATCTAGGTCGTTCGTGTGGAGACATGCGAGTGGGGGTATCCTCTACAATGAGTTTGTATAAAACCGGACTGCGAAATAATTAATCTTTAGCTATAACACCGTTAGCTAATAGATTAATATTTCAATAGGATGACTAGGTAACTCGATCTCAATCCTGAGTGAGTTATGGACTCCTGTCTGTTAGGGCTCATTCTTTGATTTGTATGGATGAGAGTGCCCGAGTCGCCGACTCAATATATGCTTACTATTTTGGGGACGAGCCCGAGTGGCAAGCTGGGAGCATAACTACACAAGATGGAATTCACTCCTTCCCGACTTTAGGGTATGAAACCCAACTGGGTATTGGTTGGACCATAATCGGGTTGTTCATTAGAAGATCAGTAGTAGTTAAGGTACAAGATGTAACACATGGGTAAAATGATAATTTGACCCAACTGTGGTTATGAACACTAGTGAAAGATTGGTCAAAATCCATGGACGCAAAATATTCTGCAGTGAGAAGAGTGTAGCTGTGGGTCTTTAGTGGAGTAACCGACAGTTAACGAATGTTAATTAATTTGGTTAATGAGTTTAATCAATTAATCTCATATCGTTGGAGCTTCTGATCAGTAGGTCTATTAGGTCCCCTTGCTAACTCATGAAGGATAGTTAAGAACATTTAGTCTTGAAAAGAATTTGAATTGTTCAAATTGGTTAAAGGGAATTAAGATTAATTGTATGAGATGCAGTTAATGTAATGTATATTGATACATTATGATATAAAGTTTATTTTGAATTGGATTCAAAATTATGAGAGAGATGAACATTAGAATTTGATTCTAATATGGTTCATTAATTTGAGTTTAATTTGATTAAATATGATTAAATTAAATTAATTAAATTAATTGCGTTTGTTAATTTGAATAAATTAAATTAGATTTAATTTAATTTAATTAATAATTCTTTTTGTAATTGATTAAATTAGATTTAATTAATTGTTAATTTAATTAAAAAAATTTTAATTAAAATAAAAATATAACCAAAAAAAAAGAAAATGGGGGGAAAACCTGCTAGTGGAAAGTGGGGATGTTTTCTCACTTTCCACCTTTAATGGTGGGAGGTGGGGAAGTAAGTGGGAAAGTGGTGACTTCCCCCTCACTCCTCATTTCTTATAAAAGAGAGGTTCTTCCATTTCTTTTCGATGGCTTGAACGTCGGTAGAATGAGTTTCTGAAACTCCAACGAGAAAATCTCTCTCTCGATTTCTCGATTTCCCTTTCAATTATAAGACCGTTCCCACAAACTGAGTAATTAACTTCCAGAGGATAGCGAGGAAGACTTTGTGGTGGCGTTGGTGTCTACATTGAATAGGTGTCTCCAAAGGTATGTATCACTAGCTTCCTTCTACTCATGCTTATGTCTTTTTTTTTGTTGTAATTCTAAAACAAGTTCGAAGCACATGCACAAATAGAGAGGATCCTTCAAGCACAAATAGAGATACATTTTCTTTCTAAAAAAGACGACTCACCATTTCATAACGTTTAAAAATTGTCACAAATGACGGAAAATTCGTTAGTCGTCATGTTTTCCAGCAAAAAATATCGCTCCACCATTACATGATGTTTTTTAAACATCACGGAAACAAAAATTTCTTGTGAGGAAGGCATTTTCGCACACCCTTTTGTGACGTTTTATAAACGTCACTAAAAATGTAGTTTTTCCAGTTATCAACGTATAAAAAACATCATGAAAAGCCTCTCATTTTCATGACGTGTCTTAAATGTCACCATAAGTTTACATTTCGAACTTTTCCTGACGTTTAAAACGTCACGAAACAGCCAAAAATTTCAGTTTTCCCACCAAAAAACGGGTCTTATCATTCCATGCGATTTTTAAACATCATGAAACATAACTTTTCATGACGTTTTTAAACGTCATGGAGAAGTCAGAATTCTGTAGAACTCCATCTTTTCCCGGCAAAAACACACCTCTCCATTTCGTGACGTTTATTAAACGTCACGAAAAACGTATTTACTTTCGACTTTTTGTGATAGTTAGAAAAAAGTCACGAAAAGTCCAAAATTCGGAACACTCCGTATTTCTTGCAAAAAACGGGTCTCACCCAATCGAATAAATGTCACGTAAAACGTATTTACTTTCGACTTTTTGTGTGAGTTAAAAAAAAGTCACGAAAAGTCCAAAATTTGGGACACTCCGTATTTCTCGCAAAAAACGGGCCTCACCCTTTTGTGAGGGTTAAAAATGTCATGAAATGACAAAAATCCAGAAATCTCAAATTTTTCCCCAAAAACTCGTTTTCAAACTTTCGTGACGTTTTTCTTAAAATTTCAATAATTTTTTTATTATTCATGAGCATCACAAAAACCCAAAATTCTAGTAGTGTCTCTAAGGAGAATTCCGGCAACTTTATTTATGAATATTTCATATTCTAGCAACTCAATTGATTATAGATTATATTTTGTACTAAAAACATTCCAGAATTGTAAGAAGTACTAATTAAGAAACAATAGAGCATGTATAGCTCAAACAAAAGGGGAATTATATTAAAAGAGATAGAAGGAATCATAACTCATAAATACCCTTTACGTAGATATGCACGCATTTGGACATCTAAGAGTGAGTGTTGTAAATATTATAAATTATGTAGATGTCTATAACCCACAAAGATTACACACCATTTCATGAACTCAATTAACTCTCATTACTAGTTAAGAGTCTCACTTGTGTTTAGACCATGTAAGTTGTAACCTCCTAATCTTGATAGTCCTATAAATAGAGGATGCAGATCCATATTTTCTTTGTAAGAAGAGAACATTTGACGCAAGTGGAATGAGAAGAACACCACTCTTTTTTTTTTTTTTTTTTTATCTGATCATATCTTGTCTACTGTGGTCTCTTTGGTTCTTTTTTTCCTTTTTAGTTCAACAACACAAAGCCGTGGAGATTTGAAAACCTACAATGTTTTTGTAAGATATATACCTTAACTAGGTGTATCTACGCTACAAAACTACAAAAATTAAGTATTTTCAAAGGTCACAACCTTTGAAAAAGTATAAAACAAATCTTCGATAATAAATATTTTTTTCGAAGGTTTGCTTCATCTTCAAACAGAGTCGAAATAGGTCCCTTCGAAAAAAACATTTTCAAAATTTTTGTTAACCTTCAAAAGTTAATATTTTTCAAAAGTTATAAGCTTCCGATAATTGTTAAATTAATTGTCAATAATTAAGTTAGTTTCAATTATTTTTTTCGAAGGTTTTTATTATTTTCCAAGGATCGTAATCTCCTCGAGCGCCAGCATGTTCACACATCTCAACGAAATGACCAATATCTTGATTAGGATTGCCTTTTCCGTCGAATTGCTAAAACTTCGGAGGCTGATATCCAATTGGCATTCTCAAGTCATCAATTCTCTTGCTGTACAGGTTGGAGTATATTACGAAGCTTTGAGAAGGTCCCCCGTATTGAGCTCTGATCGAATTTGTGATCATATCTTGGAGCTGCTGGAC